CACACAGACCATCTGCACCAGGAAGTGAAAGGGACCCTTAGCGTGGGGATTCCAGGACCCAAGGGACCCATGTGGAGGGACCCTAAGGCATCTTCCAGTGCTGCACCACCCAGAACTCTCCCTATAGACTTTGATGCCCACCTGAGCCCAGGCCACTCCTGGACATGTGAAGCTGCTGTTCTAGGCCAGAATCACACCTTTGTCTATCTTCACCTCCTTCGGTCCTGTCAGCTAAACTAATGAGCCATGGGTAGATCCTTTAGCCAAAATGAAGAAAGGAAAGCAGCATGCCCACCAAGAGCAGGAGGCCCAGCTGGGCTGCAGAGCCTGGGGAGCTCTGTGTCCTTGGGGAGCGTACAGTGAGTGCCTATCTGCAAACCTCAGCTTCCAGGCCCAGCAGCGCTGTGGCTGCTCAGCTCCAAGCTAAAGGCCCATGCTTCATCTGGCATCAAAGCCGTGGCAATCTGTCTCACCTTGGAAAGGATGAAGCAGGACCAGATTCCACGTTCTACCTCACCAAGCCTGGTGCTGCAGGTCCATGTCCAGATGTGTAGTTGTGTGTAAGTGTGCGTGTGTGCATGTGTGTACCCCAGGATTCAGAATGCTATTATGGGCTTGCCACAATTCTGCTATCTTTTTCTTTAGTGATGTTCAATATAAGTGAATTTAAGGTTTAAGGACAAAACGTTAGCATGAGTGCTCATGGCGGGTGATGCCCTGAGACTCAGGCAGGCCTGCCACCTTCCTTCCCCGTGGTCTCTTTACTGTGCATGTTCTCTCGGTCCCACCTGGGGCTTTGTTCACAGTGGCCCTGCGTTCGCCCACAGGCGCTGGGAGCAGGCTGAGCCCTGTGCCTCACACTTCCCAGGTCCTCTGCTCACTCAAACCCGCAAGCAGAAGCCTCTTCAAATTTACAGAAGAGGAAACTGAGGCAGGGAATTGTAAAATGCCAGGCTCCAATCACAGGCGGGCAGATGGCACAGCACAGATGGGAACCCAGGGCATTGGGCCGGAGAGCCAAACCTTAATGCTGTACTACATCCCTGATGTTTTGAATTCCTTATAAATTGCATTGACTTTCTGCCTCTGCCAGACAAGCACGTTGTCTTTCTGCTTCTTTCTTGAGCCAAAAAAACAAACAAACAAACAAAAAAAAACCCACATCTCATAGCACCTTCTCTGGCACAGCCCCAGAGCTCCTGACCCAGGGATCAAGCCCAGAACACAGGACCTTGTAGATGGGCTCCAAAGCCCTTCCTCTCTGCTCTGCGCTCAGTAAAGTCAGAGCACTTAGACCACAGAGAAACTGGCCTCCCTTCATCATGGAAGAGCAGGCTGGGGGAGCTGGAGGCGGCTCTCCAGGGACAGTCTCTGGTCTCCTCCATCCTGTCACCACATGCTTGCAGGCAGAGTAGGACTCACAAACTCAAACGTCCAGAGGGGCAAGAAGATGCCAGGGCAGGGGGAGGACAGCGGCGTGACAGCAGGTTACTGCTCCTGACAGTCACTGTGTGGGAAGGCAGAGACGTGCCCAAATCCCCTACTGCTCAAGAGAAGCCAGGGTCCAGACTTATGCACAGTGTCCATTCTTAAATGAAAGAAAACAAACCCAAAGGTTCTTTAGACACCACATTAGCCAAACCGAGCACATCTAGACACTGGATTCAGCTTGTGGATGCCCTTCTGTGACCTCAGTTTACAGACAATATTAGTTCACTGAAAAAAGTTCGAGACCACGTAAAATTATCAAGTTGGTGTAAGAATTACCAAATGTTTCCCTCTGTAGAAGCCAAGCCAAACATGTCTGCTGGCAGGAGTGAGTTCACAGGGGCCGCTTTGGCAGCCATTGTTAGCACTGATTGAGAAGATGTGTTCAGTCCATTTAGGGAAGGACTAGTTGGATGTAAAAATTGTGAAAATCAGCCCATGTGCCATACGCTGGTGATAGCATTTCTCCCTTCATGGCAGGCTCTGAAGGAATTGTTGCTGCTACAGAGGGGGTCCTGGCCACACTTCCACTGGCTGTCTGCAATGCCACAGACCAGAGCTGTGTTGGCAGGTCTGCCACGGGATGCCACAGAACCGTCCCCAGACCCCACATCATTCCAGTGAACGACCACAGCTAACGAACTAGTTCCCCATCTCTGGAGCCTGACTGGCTTGTGACCTGCTCTTGGGGAAGGCCTTTCTGCAATCTGGGCTCAGCAGGGCTCAACCTACCTGCCCTGGGCCACTCACCAGCAGGCCATTGGAGCCGTGGACGGTGACGCAGCGTGAGAACGTGTGGTGGATGGAGAGGTCTCTGATGTAGGTGGGTGGGTCGTAGCCACCCCGCTCGTCCACATCGCCCGCCAGGTGGAAGTGGATCGGGTATTGGCCCACCAGCTGCTGCCCCATGTGCTTCAGCTCCACGCCCGACAAGTGTGTGGCCTTAAACCCCAGCGCAAACTAGGAAAGGAGAGCGAGGATCAGAGGGTCCAGGGACTTCCTGCCCTCACACCCCCAGAGCACAGCACGGCTGTCCCCATGGTACACTGCCAGTGTCCTCCCAAGGGCTCATCCAACTAGAGACACCCTGTGCATGTGGGTTAGGAGCCCTGGCTCTTCCTACACCATGGGAAAGGAGTGAGGCCTTACTGATGGCCAAGGATTCAGCAAGACAGGTACTGCTGGGGTGGGGGCATGAGGGCTGCACAGTAGTGAGATGCTCTGACCTTTCTCCTTGCCTCCCAGTCACCTGGTGTTAGGGAGAGGGGTGACCCTAGACAGCCTGGGGGAGCTGCAAGCATGCCTGGAGTGCCAGGAATGGAGGCTGTGGGTGACTATGGGCAATACCTCAGGTCCACCAGAAACCTTCGCTGGGGTGTGAGGGTGGACACGATCCAGAGACTCCCTGAATTTCTGCTGTGGTGGCACATGTGCAATAGGAGAGATGTCCATGGGCTCCCTTGGTGGTAGCTCTGAGTCGCTGCTGGCAGCTCCAGAGACCATGGACTGCACCCATGACTGTCCCTCCTAGGAATCCCTGCCCACCTTGGAATGCTTCTGGTTGGGGTGACAGCCTCAGCCAGGCAGACTCATACCTTTATGTGGCCCCCAAAGGTATCAAAGTCAAAGAAGCTGCAGATGTGGTTGCTGTAAGGGTAGCATTTGTCCTCCATCTCCCCCATCACCACAATGTTCCGGCTCAGGAGCCCGACCTCAGCCCGCATGTCCACGCCGTCTATCTCCTCCCCAATGTGCAGGTACAGCGGCTTCCCTGGGAAAGGGGAGGTCAAAAAGCACATGAGTTATCACCAGGCCCTGCATACTCAGTGATCCCTGCGGCCCCCAGGGCATTTTATAGAAGAGTGAAGTCCAGGGAGGTAACGTCTCATGCTGAGGGCAAAACAAAGGTTCCCAGCCACAGGTGCTTAGGACTGAAGTGTGTGGAAGAAATGGGCCCTTCAGGACTAGATTCTCCTGTGCTTTAGCTGGATGCACAGCCCACCAGGAGAACTGTGTTTCACAGCCTCCTGGGTATGAGCAGAAGTACTAAGAACATCATCCAGGTGGGAAGACCTGTCAAACTTGGGAGAATCCTGCCCTAGAAGATAGCAGAGCAACTGCAGAAAAGAAACCTGGTCTCTGGTTAACCCTGAAGAGCCTGCATGCCCAACAACCTACCAGCTGGGGTTCTTGAAAAAAAATATAGAGCAGGGCCGGGGATTTAGCTCAGTGGTTCGGTGGCCTGCCTTGCAAGTGCAAGGACCTGAGTTCAGTCCCTGGTTCAAAAAAAAAAAAAAAAAAAAAAAAAAAATCTTTGTTTTTCTCAATCCCCTGCTTTAGCGTGGCGCAGTCCATTCTCCGCTTTCCTCGCCCTCGTGTGGGTGTGTATCTACAGTGTCTGTCTCTGGGGCACGTAGCATGTAAGCATAGGGTCTATAGTACCTCTAGGGCAGTGGTGTCAAGTTTATGGCATGCGTGCTACAGCAGGTGTTTGTTGACACCAAAAGCTCTACAAGGTCCACCATGGTTGCTATAAGGAATGTATCTGGAGTCAGGCGGGAGCTTCTGTGTTCACCACTATGGCTGGGCTCTGGGAGCCTTGCAAACACTGTGTGGAACGGGGGAAAGAGCTTGTACCTGCTCTGTGCCCACCCATCCCTCTCTCCTTCCAGCCTCTGTGTGGAGCTGACCCCAGGCCCAGTAGCTTCCTCTTCCAGAAGCTTCACTTCTTCCCTGATGTGGCTTCTTAACGCTGCTGTCCAACTCCTCTGAGCCTTCCTATCCCTAAACAAAGAACAAAAAAAGACCACCCCGCTTCCCCTCTTCTAGCTATTGTCATCTCTTTCCTCTTGTGGCCGGGGTCTCTGCACTTGATCTTAGCCTAACGGCCGAGAAGTGATGTGGTCAAGATCACTGAACTAGGAATCTGCCTCCTTCCTCTGGTTTCTCTCCACTGTCTCCCTCCCACTATTCCACTCAATCTCTTGCCACTTGCACTTAACATTTCCCTTGCTTTCTTTTCTTCCACCAGTGGCGCAGAAAAGGCACCTCAAGCGCGGGGCGACAGGAGCTCAAACTTGGAACTGTCTTTGCTTTGCAGCCCAGATTCTGCTTCCAGCACATTCCAAATTCTTTCCACAATAAAAAGTCTTAGCACAGCTCTAAATTCAGCTCATCTCTGAGGTTGCCGACTTGGCTTCTAGATGTTTTCTCTGCCCTCTGAGGGTGGAGTTACAAAAGAGCAATCACCTCCCCTGTGGATTGTAGGTTGGACAATGCCACCCACCTCTCTGGGTTTTCACATGACCCTGGAGATACTCCCAGGGGCCCACATGTGAGGGTCATGGTTACAGTTAGCCCCAGCACACGACAGTGAACTTCCTCTGCCATCCCACCCACGGGAAGAGCTGACCCTGTGTGTCCTCCCCAGGCACACACCTGTGAGTCTGAGCTCTGCGAAGACTGTCTGATTTGGGGATTCTGCAGCCTCATTGGGTTGGTGGGTTTTTTTTGAAGCATTTAGTTCCAGACGTGAAGTTGGTGCATGAAGAAGCTGAAAAGATACCTCATGACATTTGGTATTCATGAAGTTACCATGAATTTACCGCCTTAAAACAATCTGAATCCATCCTCTTCTAGTCTTGAAGGTCTGAAGTCTGAAATGAGCCGTAAGCAGCCCACATCAAGGTTCTGAGAGTACTGCTTGCTTGTGGAGGAGCCAGGGAAGAATCTGTTTCTTGCCTTTTGCAGATTGTAGTGGATTTAGTGAAGATTTAGTGTATTTTCTGTCCTGTGACCTCTTCTTGATCTTCGGCACACACCACGCCAAGCTCTGCTTCTGTCTTCATGCCATTCCCTCCTCTCGAACCCTTCTTCAGCATGCTTTTGAAGACCCTTGAAATGACACAGGCCCACTGGGGCGAGCCAGGGTAATCTCCTATCTGAGCCTGATCACGTTTGCAAAGTTTCTCTGGCCCTAAGGTAACACATACAGGTACTGAGGATTAGAAGTATCTCTTTCGAGGCCATTATTCAGCCAGCCACAGAGTTCTTCTTAAAAACAGTGCTGGCATTGTGTTAGTCATATACTATAAAAATACTTGAGATAAATAATCTTCAAAAGAGGAAAGGTGTTGGATGTGGTGGCAAACACCTATAACCCTAGCACTTAGGAGGCTGAGGTAGGAGGATCACAAGTTCAAGCCTACCTTGGGCAACTTAGTGATTTAGCAAGATCCTGTCTCAAAAAAAAGAGGAGGAGGAGGAGGAAAAAGAAGAAGAGAAGGAGGAGGAGGAAGAGGAGATGGAAGAAGAGGAAGAAGAAGAAAGGTTTATTTTCAGAGGTTTCAGTCTGTGACTGATTGGCCCATTGCTTTTGACTTGTGGCAGCTCGGTACATCATGGCTGTGTGTGGTGCAGGAGGAAGACTATGTACTTCATGGCTGAGAACAAATAGAAAGGAAGAGACCAGCATCCCACAATCCCCTTTGAGGGCTCACTCCCAGACACCTAACACCTCCCCTTAGGCCCACTTTTAAAGGTTCTACCACCTTCCAGTAGCACCAAGCTGAGGACCCAGTCTTTAATACATTGACTTCTGGGCAATATCAAAAATCAAGACTATACATAGGGTGCTGTGTCTCTACTTCCAAGGTCCAGAGCAGGGTTCACTCTGGCCACTCAGGTGGAAGACTCTCCTTGCATCCAGTTCATCCAGCGTCTTTCCAGGTATGGAAGCCAGAGTTTGTCCCCCAAGAGCTTCACATCGTGTCTGAGTGGCCATGGCTTGGAGGAGCCAGACAGGAGGCAGTGCCAGGTGCACATCTGATGAGGAAGATGGGTATCCAGCACAGGAGATGCTAGAAACAGGCCGTAATCATCACTAACCATGGAGACTCACACACAAGGGCTTTCCACAGCCCCCAGGGCCAGCTCCCTGGTTTCCCACTGTGGAAGTGGAGGATCAGGTGGTGCTCAGGGCTCCTGCTACGATCTGCTATAGAGCTGAGGAGAGTGTGGGGCAGGACTGAGCAAGGCTGCTCTTGTCACCCCAGGCTCCAGCTATGGTTGTGTGAGCACTGCAGGTCACACTTTTCCTGGAAGCCTCCATCTGTGACATGAAGACCACACCCTGTGAGAGTGGTAGACCTCTTCTTCCAGAACCTCTTTTCTCTCCATACAACCTTATTTCATGGACTGACAGGTCATGGGAGTGTCCTGCTCGGATTGCTCTGCAAAAGTGCCTGCTGCAGAGTGCAGGGAGTGATCCAGCTGTCTTCCCCAAGGTCATGGTTGCCACTGCACATGTGGAAGTGTCAGTGATACTAAAGTTGGCCATTTTTGCATCACAAGGGACTCCTTACTAGCTGGTCTCTATTGTGGAGCTCTCCCTAGCCACCCAGCTTCCTCAGAGACCCTGTAGCCTGGCCTATGGCTCTACCTACCTGACCACCCTTCCACCTTCCTGCTCATCACAGGTGTCAGACTTGCACCTTGGCTTTCTACACCTCCTCCTGTATCCTCTTTCTGTGATCTTCCACACACCCTGACCCAATCTCTTGCACATTCAATGCTGTCTGAACACACTTTCCTTCTTTGTGTTCCCCTTGTCAGAACATCTTGGGGATCATTATGGAGAAACAAGGATGTTTGCACCACTGCCTCTCTGCCTGCCCTGGTCTTCCAAGCCACCCCAACTTAAGATGCTCCCTGCAGATAAGCAGGGCAAGAAGATTCAGTCCCTCTTTACTTCTTTCCCTTCAGGCTTCCAGGATCCTGGACTTCCAAGGCCTATGTGTCCAGCTCTGCTGGATCAGAGATACCCCAAAGGACAGTGCTGCTGGTAAAGCTCAGAGAAAATCCCAAAGTCCTCCTCAACCCAGAAACACTGCTCTGAGCCATTCTCCAGACACAGACGAAGAAGAATTGACAGCCCAGGAAGAGCCCAGAGCCCAGAGGCAGCTCAGAGCTGCCTGTGAACTGGCCAAAGCTGAGGGCAGGAGGTGTAGGCTTGGATCCTGGGAGATACAGCTCGGAGCAGACTGCACAGGAGTAACTCTAGGGCTGGTCTGTCCTGTGAGCCAGGGCCCAAGACAGGCTCCCTGGATGGATGGAGAAAACCCCAGGTCCCTGAGCTTTCTCTGCTCCTCCCCCATCTCCCCTCTGCCCAGCTAGGCATGAGGCCACCCTCGCTCAGCCTGCTTTCTCACCCTTCAAGGCCCAGCTCATGTGTCCCCAGGAAACTCACAGCCATGCTGAGCAGTGGCCTTTCCTCCTCTGTCCCGCAGTTTAGTGAGCCAGTAGTGGGCTGGGCCTCCCCGACTCCAGGCCTTCTGACCATTGTTCAGGGCCCATGCCCACCAGTACCTTGGCTTTGCTCAGTTCCTCCCAAAGCATGGCATCCAGGCCAGACTGTTTCAGAGGTTTCTGTACCTGTGGGTGACCAGAGGGCCTTCTGGGGAGGTAGGGGAGGGTGGCAGGGAGGTTGCTGCCTTTAGAGCCTGCTGGGCAACTCAGCTTGTCACTATGTCCCTGCACATGCAACTTAAGCTTCCTAAACCTCAGGCTCTTCATCTATGAAACAGAGATAATAATAGAACTATCCTAAAAGGTAGTACACTTGAGAAGTGAGTTAATCCATGGAACATGCTTCAAACAGTCGCTGGCACAGGGTAAGCCAAGCCCGACAGGAATGGTCGACAGCTGCTGCTGGTGTTGCCCCAGGTTGAGGCTGGAATGTAGGCCTGAATGACGGGGGTTTGTGGACAGCAG